TTCCCTCCAAAAGGAGGAAGAGGTACCAGTTGCTTGGGAAGGCCAGCGGCCTGGAAGTCACCGCCCAAGAGGCAAAGCAGGCCGCTATGGCCGGGCGGAAGACCCGGCCTCTTTTTCGGTGTGCAAGTTTGGCGACACATTGGTGGAGCGCTGGAGGGAGCAGCGCTGGGTTGGAGTTGCGCTGCTGGGGAGGAAGAAGAAGGACTAGAGGGAGGAAGAAGGAGGAAGGAAGGAGGAAGGAAGGAGGAAGGGGGAGGAGCGCCAGGGGTACTTACCAGGCTATGGTGGCAGCCATCTTCATCACCTTGGTGGGCGCTGCTGCAAGGAGTCCCCAGCCGGGGGAGCTACACCAAGAAGCTTCAAGGCAAGGCTGGGCATRGCGGCCTGAGCTGGAGCAGCCATAGCTGSTCTGGGTTGTCCCTTGGACGTCGGTGCAAGGCCTAGTAGTCCGCCATAGCCTCGGCCTATGTGTGTGAAGAGTGRGGGAGGCAGCCATGGCTATGGTGGACCTTGAGTGATACCTGCAGTAGAAAAGGGACTCGGACATGATTCTGGACCAGTCACTCAACATTGTATTATTATTTCTTGTATGAATAAGAGAAGGGGGAGATAAGGAGGAGGAGATTGTTGGGCGAAGAAGAAGAGCCTTGTCATTGTTTTTGCTGGTGTACATCTTCTTCTTCTTCTTYCTTWCTTCKTCTTCTTCTTCWACTCCTCTCCCACCTCTCAAGTTCATTCATTTCTTTCTGCAATTGGATGGCATTGTACTTTCCAGTGGATGTGTATCTCGAAATTGGTCAGGGTCATAACANCTCCCACCTCTCAAGTTCATTCATTTCTTTCTGCAATTGGATGGCATTGTACTTTCCAGTGGATGTGTATCTCGAAATTGGTCAGGGTCATAACATTGGTATCAGAGCGGATTCTACTTGCTGGTGAGAGTTGACTTTGCTACCCTAACCCTAACCTAAGTGGTTGAGGGCAACACTTAGGGTTAGGGTTGGATGGTTGAGGGAAGTGGGGCAGCGTGGCTAAGGGAAGCTGCCCCCACCGGGTTAGGTCATGTGGGGTCAACATAGACCCTAACCAGGTTGCTTGAGAGTGAGATTGGGGTGGCGAGACGTTTCGAGGAGACTTCATGGGGCGATTTGAGAGAGGCGACAGTGAGAGGCACTCGCACCTGGAATCTGATTCAAGGGAGACACTTGGCAACTTAAGAGCTGCCCTCAAGTAGGCGAGCTTGAGGGTCAGCGGCCATTCTGCATCAACGGACTGCAAGTTGCTACTTTGTTCTTCAACATCGACAGGGGGATCCGGCGTTGCACTTGGGTGTTGGAGTCAGACCCTCCTAGGACATTAGTGTAGGGGTAGCGTTAGGTGGGTCAGGAGGACCATATGAGAAGGGGGGTGAGTTCCCTTCATCTCGAAGCTCAAGGCCACTCAGGTAAGTGTCGTGCACCTAAGGGATGCCCATGTATGCGTGTATGGTATTGATTGTCCTGATGGGGTACTCTGGGTTTCTTTTCCTACTCCTCTGTGGTCTTGATTGTGTGACTGGATGCATGTGATCTACCTACTCACCTGATGGATGGAAAATGAAGTATCTCGTTATACATGTCGAGTCTTTCTACAATGCTTTGTCTTTTCATCACTGAACGGTTGTAGTCTGTAGGTTCTGCCAGGAGTTGAAATTTCGTTTTTCAGTGCAGTTGAGACTGAACTAAGTTCAGGTGGGACTCTTCTTGGTTGGGACCTGGTTGAGACCTACGTGGGACCCTTGGGACCCAGCGGAACCGGGCCCAAACAAGGAGAGCCTCTGGACCCAAAATCGGTTAGGCATTGACCTCTTGTCTTCTTGGCTGGGATACGAGTTCATTCTCCTTGGATTAGGACACCCATTGCCGAGGGGATCTTGGCTTTGACGTTTCGCTTGCATTCTGATTGCACCGTCCGTGGCTTGACTCGCACCCTGTACACCACTCAATTCTCCATTGTTGCATTTAGTTACTCGTTGTCTGATTTGCTGTATGGACACGGAGCTGGTCAGGCTGGACTCGAGAGGACCTCGTACGCAGCCTGATCAGACTGGGTCGCTGGATCAGACCTCTCTTTGAGTTGATTGTTTTTTCTGTTGTTCTCTGCTTCCAAATGAAATGTCGCTCCGGCTAGGAGTTCTACCTTCTTTTCTCTGAGCTTTATCTGTTTTTCTGAGTTCATTTCCGACGCCCGTGGAGACTCGCAATCAGAAAGAAGAAAGAGAGAGGAGGGAGAGAGAACAGGGAGAGAGGGAAAGTGATAGTCTGAGGTGGGCAAGGACTGGGAAAAGGAGTGTTCGTCTAAGCGCAGGGGGGAGTGAACCTCTTGAGAGTCTGATTGATTATTTTGTTGTCTGGCGACTCTCTGATCCACCTGCCCACACTGACAATCCAAAGATAGCCCAGCTAAATTCGATGCAATGGCGGGCCTTGTTAGATGCAGTCGGTGATGTTGAGAAACCACATCTGCAAACACTCTTGGATGGTGCTATAAAACGGGAACAGGAGTCAGAAAAGGAGAGGAAGGAGGCCTTGCTGAGAAGGCAAGTAGCCCTCCTAGAGACTATTCCCTCACTGACTGAAGAGCAGTGCGGGGAACAGCTGCAGTCCATCCTCACAACCTTTGTTCAAATCAAGAATCTTGAGGACCATACCACTCAGATCGCTGAAGTCTTTGCAAAACTGCAGACACTTCAGAATGATCTGACTGAGATGACCCTCAAGTACCATGAACTGACAAAGGAGGTGGCGGATCTGCGACAAGCCCAAAGTGGCTAACCCTCTTCCTCTACCTCCTGGAACTGAAGCTGCAATCGAAACTACCTTTGCCCCTCTTACTGTGTCTTCTTCTACATCTTCTTCGAGTGTGATGGCAACTCCTTCAGGACCTGCAACAGGTGCAGATTCTGTTGTTGCTGTAACAAGCAATGAGGCTGGAACTTCTGCAATTGCTGCAGCCCCAAGACCGGAACCAGCTGCTGCTGGTCCCAGCCATGCCAGTCCCTATGTGGACCGGAAGGCGGTTCAAATACCGTCCAAGTACGATGGCAGGGAAGACATTGAGTCCTGGATCGGCTCCATGAGGGCCTACTTTGAGATCCTGGGGACTCAAGCTGAGACCCAGGCGGTTGTCATGGGTATGAATGTCGAGCCAGTCGTACGGGGCTTCCTAGAAGTCCAAGCAACACGGGCTGGGTTTCCGAAGGCTGCACTAGCCAAATGGTTGAGGACCACCCCGGTTGCCTCCCTCGAAGAACTCCTTATCTCAGAATACCAAGATCCACATGTTGCTGCTAAAGCAAGGATTCAACTGGATAAAGTAAAGCACAACAAGTGGAATGGCTCCATGAAAAGCCTGCAGACCTATCTAAGCAAGCTGTTTGCCACTCGTGGTTTGGAATTGTCCACTCGATCTTGCTTAGATGTGGTCAAGGGCGCGGTTCCAACTAACTTCACTAGTCGCCTGGGCAGGGACTACATTGCTTATACTGACTGACTTGCCTTAATGAAGGATGTAGTCAGTCTGGAGGCCATGGACCTCGTTAGCACGGCAGGCACCAAAAAGCCCATGGGCGGCAGACGGTTCAAGGGCAGCAACCGTTTTGCTGTGCATGACTTGCTGGAGGCCGAAGGAGAAGCCGATGCGGTTGACCCCACTCTTGGTAACGACCAAGAACAGGACCCCGATACAGCTTGTTCCTCAGCCCATGAGTCCGACGCAAATAACGAAGAAGAAAATTTTTCTGCCTTTAAAAAGACTGCCAACACTAAGGGACCGAATCGGAGTGTCGGAAAGAGTTATGTCCAACTCCCCAAAGGAGTTAAGATCCCGCCTAAACCAGAGGATGCATCTACCAAACCGTGGGTTGACCTCCGGATCACTGAGAATGACTGGCGGGGCAGAATCAAGAAGGGGGTTTGCCTGCATTGCCAAAAGCCAAATCACAAGGTCCAAGACTGTTATAGGTTGCAGGGAAACTAGAACCGGGCGTAGAGTCAGATTCAACAAACTCTACAACAGGGGAGTCAGGATCTGATGAAAATCAACAGCCCTCCCTTGAAGTTCAACCATCTGCTGAAGACAAGGCTGAGGTGAGTAAGGCGTTGTATGACGAGCCTTGGGAGGAGTCTGAGATGATTGACTTCCACTACCACTTGGAGCATTGGGCTGAAATGAAACAGCAGTGTGCCCAAGGGACAATGAAGTTAATCTTCTTCAAACTTCTCATAAACCACCGCTATCTCCGTGTGTTAGTTGATTGTGGTGCTACAACTAACTTCATGTCACCACATGGGATACGCAAGTTGGGCTTGGGGATGAAGCAAGTGGCCCTGCAGAACCCTTGCCGGACCCCAAGTTGGCAACAAAGAAGTTGTCTCTTCTACACATGCAGTCAAAGGTGTGCGCACTGCCTTTGACAGAGGTAAGACTGTCACCCTCGCACTGAACTTCTTTGTCCTTGACAAGTGCCCCTTCGACGTTGTCCTTGGCTTGGGCTTGATGCAGTCCCAATGCGAATGGACCAAGTGGAAGGAATCACTCTTCATGGTCAAAGATGCTCAGGGGAACGAGCTTCCTGTCCTCTTGGATAAGAAGCACGAGTCCCCAGTGACTTTCCTAAATGCATTGAAATTCTGCAAGAAATAGCACAAGCACAAAGAGGAAGAACAATTGTATGTTGCCTTTGTTCGTCCTGCTCATGTGCCTTCTACTTTTGCGGCCAGTACCACCACTACCTTGAGTAATGATCCTACTTCTAGCACTTCTACTACTAGCACCTCTACCTCTCTACCCTCTGATAGTCCAAATGATCCAACTTCAGATTCGATCGTCTCTATACGCGACGTGCGACCGGACTTTGGTGATCCCTTTGCTGATTCCCCACCCCCACCTGTCCCAGCAGACATCCAAGCCCTCCTCGATCGGTTTTCAGAAGTCTTGGCCGAGCCACTTGGAGTCCCCACGCGACTGGTTCGACACACCATCGAGTTGGTCGAGGGTGTTGTTCCTCCAAAGGGCTGCGTGTACCGTATGGGACCCGGCGAGTTGGAGGAACTCCGCCGGCAGATCGATGAGATGATTGACAAAGGGTGGATCAAACCAAGTGAGTCTGAATTTGGTGCTCCTGTGTTGTTTGTGCCAAAGAAAGGAGGCAAACTCCGCATGTGTATTGACTATCGCAGTCTAAACCGCATCACAAGAAAGAATGCTTACCCATTGCCTCGTATAGATGACTTGCTTGATGTTGCAGGCGGGTGCAAGGTCTTCTCCAAGATCGATCTCAAGTCTGGCTACCACCAGATTGAAGTCGATCTTGAGGACCAGCACAGGACTGCGTTCAAGACGCACGATGGGCTTCTTACGAACGCACCAACCACGTTCCAAAGCCTCATGGACAAGGTCCTCCGCGAACAGATTGGCCGGTTCGTGGTAGTGTACTTGGACGATATCCTGATTTTCAGCAAGTCCATGGAGGAACACCTCAAGCATCTTGAGGAGGTACTTGCCATCCTCAAGAAGACGCAACTCCATCTCAACTTGGAGAAATCCGAGTTTGGGAGGGATAGCGTCATCTATCTTGGCCACCGGTTGTCTGCTGCAGGCCTAGAGCCTGAGGCAACTAAGATTGAGGTCATACGCGATTGGCCTCAGCCTGTGAACATTCGTGAATTGCGTTCTTTTCTTGGTCTCGCGTCGTACTATCGGAAGTTTGTACCCCGTTTTTCTATCATTGCTCATCCACTGTCGCGACTAACCAGCAAGAATGTGTCTTATTCCTGGGATGCCGCTTGTACGGAAGCGTTTCGAACTCTCAAGGAAGCCTTGGTAAGTTATCCGGTACTCCGCATTGCAGACCCCAAACTGACCTTCGTAGTTACTACGGATGCAAGTCAGTATGGGATCGGTGCGGTGCTGCAACAAGATGACGGCGATGGCCTGCGGCCACTCGAGTACTACAATAAACGCATGCCCAGCGTAAAGGTAGCCACTTCCACCTACATGCGCGAGCTTTACGCTTCGCGCATGGCGTTGGATCACTGGAAACATTACCTTTTGGGATGCCACTTCAAAGTGTTCTCAGATCATGAGACCTTGAAGTGGATCAAAATGCAGACTACTCTGTCCCCTACCTTACTTCGCTGGTTTCATGAGATTGACATCTTCGATTTTGAATTGAGACATAAAAAGGGTTGTTACAATCGAGTCGCTGACGCTTTGTCTCGCTACCCTGAGTACATGACTTGCCTTGTGAAATCCTACGACCTCCGGAAGAAATTGAAGGAGGACCTCGTAGAGCAGACAGCCAAGGATCCGGAACTCCGCGAGTCAGCCTGAGCAGCTGCGGGCTGATCCTAGTAGTCAGCCTGATTTCCACGAGTATGGAGGACTGATTTTTCGCCGATACGGGAACCATGACCGTTTGTGTGTGCCCAACCACGAGCCTCTCCGCACGCACTTTCTGGACTTGGCTCATGGCCGGAGCGGGCACTTCGGCATGTCAAAAACGTACGCTAACCTGCTGAGACAGTTTGATTGGCCTGGCATGAAAGGGACTGCTGAGAAATTTATAGCTGAAAGTCTGTCAACGAATCAAACCATGCAGACAAAAGCCCATGGGGCTACTCACACCCCTACCCATTCCTGATGGTCCCGGGGAGTCTGTCTCCATCGATGTCACTGACATGGGTAAGGTAAGCAAGAATGGGTTTTCACAAGTCATGGTGGTTGTTGACCGATTTTCAAAGTTTCTTAATCTAATCCCTCTACCGCCGCACGCCCCAACAGATCTAGTGATTCGCGAATTCCAGCAGAAATACCTGCTGCAATTCGGAACCCCGAAGACTCTTGTGAGTGATCGGGACCCGCGATTCATTAGCGCTGAATGGAAGGAGTTCACGTCCCACCTAGGGATCAAACTGTGCATGACATCTGGCCGACACCCCGAAGGCAACGGTTTGGCTTGAGGAGATCAACCAGACTGTATTCCAACTACTCCGTGCGTTGATCATTCCTGATCAGGAAACATGGGATGAGGAGCTGTATTCTGTCAAGGGGTTGTACAACAACTCCGTCCATTCTGCCACCGCCATGACACCTAACAGGCTGCATTACGGGTGGCAGTAATCCGCTCTCCTACTTATTCCCTGAACAGCCAGATGGGTTAACACCGGGTAGGCCCGGCTTCAGGGCTAAGTATGATCGCTTGATCAAAGTTGTTGTTGCAGCCATGACCAAGCGACAGCATGCCATGATTCACCATGCGAACAAGAAGCGCAAACCATCGGAGATTCAGGTAGGAAGTTATGTCTGGGTAAAGATGTCTGAATTCTCAGAGGAGGAGGGAGTCTCACGCAAACTCCTCCCACTCTACTACGGGCCTTGGGAAGTTTTGGATGTAATTGGGGAAGATCACTTTGGCCCTTCGTACGTTGTAGACGTGCCAGCTCACCTGCGCACGTATCCCGTATTTCATGCATCTAAACTGAATCTCCATCCTGACGCCGAGACATTCGATTACCGCGAAGATATGATCCCTCGCGCAATCAAGGGCGAGCATGAGATAGATAGAATCAAACAGCATGTAGGTAAAGGGAGAAACAGACAGTACCAGGTTCATTTCATGTATCACCCGTTAGATGATCTCTACTGGATCTCCAAACAGGAACTGCTACGCAGCGCACCACGCGTTGTTAAAGCTTACGAGCGACAGATCGCCGCTAATGCCACACCAAAGATCTCAGCAAGGCTCTCTGCAACAGAGTATTCCAGGAATCTCTTTGCCTTGCTCGCCTATGATGCGTTTACCGAGGACTCAGAATGAGTTACTCGCTCGAACGGACCTCGCTCTTGAGGGGGGGGTAGTGTGATAACCCGTCCAAACATGGACTGAAACACACAGCTAATTTCTGAGTTTTGCTCATAGACTGAATGCCCTACCGAGTTCCCCGCCTGCTAAGTCTGTGTGTGTGTGTGCTTGCTGGACTGCATGTCGGTCTGAGTGT